CGGCCCCCGACCTCGCCTCCTCCTCACCTGAGGTCTCGTCGGCCCCGTCGTGGTTGGAGTTGAGCTCCTTTTTACTGACTTTGGCCGCCGGCGCCGACATGGTGCTGCTCCGCGGTGGGGGGGGAGCGGGGAGGGGGGAGAGAAGGGAAGGCGAAGGGGACGGGCAGGCGGCTTCCCCTCACGCCACACGCGCGGGCGCTCGCTCGGTCCGGCCGCCTCCTCCCGGCGCTCGCTCTCCCTCCCCCTGGCTCGCTCTCGCTGCCCTCTCGGCCTGACGACGAGGGAGGGGCTAGAGCAACGCGCCGGGCCCCGGCCGGGCCTCCTGCTTACGAAAGGGAGGCGGCGGCGGCAGCGGTAGCGGGCGGGCAGGCGGCTGGGCACCCTCACTCACGCTCCGCGCTTTAGCTCGCTGCTCGCTCTCCCCAGCCGCCTCCTCCTCCACCTCCTCCTCACGGCGAGGGGCGGGCTGCAGGGCGCAGGCGCGCCAGGCCCCGCGCGCACGCCCCGCCCCCGACCAGAGAGGCTCGCGCCGCCTCTCCATTGGCTGGGTCACCAGGACGAGGGGGCGGAGACGCGGAGAGGAGACACAAGGCCTAGCGAAGAGGCGGGAGGAAGGAACGCCGCGACGTACAGGGCCGGCCCCCCGCGCTGCGCTCCCCTCCCCCCGCTTTCCCCTTCTCCAGCCCGACCCGGGACATTTGCGAGCTACGAGCGCGGCGGCCCAGGGGGCGGGGCTTTGCCCGACTGCGCGCGGGCCCCACAGAGGGCGCGTCACGTGGTGGCGGAGCGGCTTCCCTTCTCCGCGGGGTGGCGCGGGGTACCGGGGAGAGGAGTATTCGCAGCCCCCCAAAAGTGCAGGCCTCGTAGTAACTGTGTTTCACATCCGGGCCTAATGGGAGACGGAAATTCACCCGCCCAGGGATACTACTGAGGCACTGCAGGGCCACCGTTTTTGTGAAGGGAAGAAGGACGCACCTCCATCCTATTTTTCTAATGGGGAAGCCACTCTTCTGACTGAAATTAAGGTCCATTTTGTAAAGCCGGAAGCTGCTTTGCTCACACATAGGACCATTTCTTTGGTTTTAGTCTAAACCCTTTCTAGCAGACTAAGTGAACTAGGATCCGTCACTGTCTCTCGCTTGCTGTTCAATTATAAAATTCCAAACAGGCTAGCAAATGGCAATATTTTGTCAGTGGGAATGTGGATGCCCTCTGAAGACAGGGAGGTGCCTCAATCAACCGCGGACCTTTTGACCTAGCTCAGCGCCTAGCCTAAAGTTTGCAAAAAACCCTATACTGAATGCAAATGCTAGTCTACGTTATAAGCGTGCAAGTTCCACAACTGCCCAATTGGGTAGGCAGTATTTTTACCACGTCAAATGGAGTTACATTCCTGAGCCTTGAAACATTAAGTAGGAACAATGCATTTGTGTTTAAATAATGTTTTCCAGGTAATGCAGATAAACCTGGTTATATCTTCTCCCTCAGACACCCAAGACATGGACCACAAAAACACTCAAATCTTGCCCTTGTGCATCCAGAATGCTTGTTCCAGTTTGAAACACTGACCTTGTGGTTCCAAGACTAGTGCTTATCCTACAGTGCCATACCAGGCGTTGGGAGATGGATTAGACACCCTCCCCTCCTGTTTTACTATCAGGTCTTAAAGTGCAGGCTGTTTTTTAATGTTCAAGATAGTCTATAGTGGGTGATCAATAAATGGCATAACTAACATCTGTAAGCCAAGAATACAGTCATGGCTAGAAAATACAAAGTCTTCATTAAGAATTAAGGATTAGAATTAATCTAATCCTTCCCCCACCATGTCTCCCATCTGAATCCAATTTAATTCATACCTATCCCAATTAAACAACTTTTGAAGGAAAAATAATTTGCACCAGTGATAAACAATCAGCTCTGCAGGGGTTAAAAAGACGTGGATTTGTAACACTTTCTGATTTTAATGGTGTAAATACTCTCATGGTGGGCAATTTCAATTTGCCATCCTTGTGATATCACTGAACAGAGTTGGAAAGAAAATAATACCACAATCTGCTCTCAAGAGCAAAACCTAACACCCCACTGAAGCTTGTACCATGGGCCACAGGATGTGATTAAGTGCTTGACAGGAATTTCCTCATTAAAAGTGTTGTTATTATGTTAAGTGCCATCTTGTCACAGCAATACTATATAGGGTTTCAGACCTTGCAGTTAGCAGTCCAGTGCTTATCCTATGGCACCACACCAGGACTCTATTTAAACATTGTTAAGTGCAGAGTCAGTTCTGATGCATAGCGACCCTGTATAGTGTTTCTGAGGAGCGGCTGGTGAGTTTGAACCATCAACCATGTGGTTTAAACTGCCCTTGTTTATCTTACAGAGCCACACCTGCACATTAATATTCACATTTCATAAATAAAGAAACTATACTTTGATACAATACAGAACCATGATTCCAAACCAGGATAGTGGATGAAAATGCACTTGCCTTAAGACTGTGTTTTTCAATTTTTGTGGCATGAATGACCTACAGTAAGAGATACATTTTACATTATGACCCCATTCCCATCAGTACACAAAACAATACAAAGTATGATATTATGCTGTAATTTTCTATTCGATTATTTTAAATGCTGGTTGCACCTCACTAAACTGATTTCATGACCCACTAGTGGGCTATGTTGGTCATGAAACTCAGGAAAAGCCCTTGGCTGAGGTCTGCTGCTTTAATGCACAAAGCCTACTCATAGGTTGGTACCAATAGCCCCTAGCATCTCCTGCATGCTTGACCTACCTGTGTTTACCAAGTATCTACAGAGACCCCAGTGAATCTTGTAATGCTTTCAGATGGACCTCAAGGCTTCCCTCCAAACACCCTAACTCTTAGAACCATCCCTGCTCCTCTCCCTTCCTGACTTTTCCCCATGAGCACTTCTCAAAATGAACACAAGGAGCACTTCAGGAAGTAGAAAAGAGAAAGCAAAAGGGCTGAAATTTCAGTTTGGATTTTGCATTCTCTCCTTGGCATCTCACCTTGTTATCAAAATTCCTCCCTCTCCTCCCCTTCCCACCTGGTTTTGAAAAGGCAACCCCTGCAGGTTGAAACACAGAGATGCAAAACGCAAAGCCCTGAGCACTGACCAGGAAAACTTAGCCAGGATGCTGTTGAACACAACCACTCTCTCCCCAACACATACAAATCTCTTTTGAGCCTCCTTTTTCTGATCTGTAGAAGGGGGATTACCATTGCATGGTGCTGTTGTGAACTGCTAGAGAAATAGGTGCTTCTATTAGAACTGAATCAAGCAGATCACCTATGCTTGAAATATCTCAGAGGAACTATGACTTTACCTTCCAATCTCTTCCAGTCCTGCTAATTCTCCCAGGGAGCTAAATGGAAGGAGGCTATGGAAGTTGAGTTACATTTTGCTACTCATAAGCAGGAAACAAACAGTCTCTAGGTCATGGAAACAACTAAAGAGCTTAACTGCTTGCTAGCCTAAAGGCTGAAGGTTCAAGTCAACCCAGAAATGCCTCAAAAGAAAGTCCTGGCATTCAATTTCCAAAAACAAGTCATGGAAAGTCCTATGGAGCAGTTCTAGTCCAAGACACATGGAGCTGCCATGAGTGGAGTGAATTGCACGGTAATTAATACTGATTTAAGGAGGAAGGAACTCACCGCCTATCTAAGAGCACTGTTTATGCTCCAGAGTCCCTGTCCAAGTGTTTTATTTACATTTCAGTCTCACAGCAAGTCAAAGAGATAGGTACAATGGAACCCCATTTTGTGGAAGAGAGAAGCACAGTTAAGTTGCTTGCTGGCAAGGTCACAGTCAGACAGCCAAGTTTCAGCAGTCCAGCTTGCCCACACTAGGATGGACATCAACAGAGCAGGGATGTTGAAAAGTAAACAACTTGCTGATATCACTCAGCAAGTCCCCAGGAGCATTGAGAGAAGGACTCCTTATCCAGTGCTCCTTTGACAAGTATGGGCCCAGTCTGCTCTCTGCCTTCAAAATCACATGTTCTAGGCCATGCCTTTCAGGCTGCTTTCCTGCCTTCTTATTGTGCCGTGGAGTTATCCTGACTTATAATGACCCTATATAGGGTTTCCAAGGAGTGGCTGGTGAGTTTGAACCAACGACATTGCAATTCAAACCTACCTTGCAGTCCAATGCATTATCCTGCAGCGCCCCACCAGGACTCCTGCCTTATAGCTGTCTAAACTCAACTTTCCAGAAGGCCCCACCATATTCTCACTATGTCCAAAACCAAAACCCAATTCATACAGACCCTAAAAGACAGTAGAAATGCCCCCATAGCGTTTCCAAAGCTAAAATCTTTATGGACGCCGACTGCCACACACCTCAGAGGAGCTGGTTGGTTTGAACCACCAACCTTTGCTTAGTCAAGTGCTTAGCCACTATGCCACCAGGGTTCCTCCCACTCTCTCTATCAGGGAGACCTAATCACCAAAACAACTTTGGAAACACAGTGCTGAGTTCAGTCTAATGAAGGGAGGGAAGAATGAAGTAAGACGACATAAAATCAACAATTACAGTGTAATGATATAAAGGCTGCAATAGGATCACTCTATAGTCACTGCAAGGGCAAAAGGGGGCTCCTAACCAAGGATCTGTGGCTCAAAGGAGAATGAATGCCTGCAAGGAATGAGTTTTCAGCAGAGAGCTGGAGAGCAAGGAGGATGTGGGCAGGTAGGGGAGGGGAGTGATGCAAGCATAAGGAAGACAGGTATCCAGGCCACACAGTGAAAGACGGCTCTGGAAGGTAAGAACAGCTTAAGGGAGCGTGTGAAGCTGGAAGGAGGGGGGTGGTGGTCAGAGGGTGTAGGCAGGGCCTGGCCCTGGAATTCTCATCTTTACCTGGAGGGCAGTGGGGGTGGGGGGACAGTTGGGAAGGGTTTTAAGCCAGTGAGTCATGTGACCAACTTTACTCAGGCTGAATGGGAGGAGGAGGAAACTGGAAGCAAAATGAGGAGGTGATGGCAGGAATCTGAGCCAGAGTTACTGGCGGGCAGCTGTGGCAGGAAGTAAGTGGGTATGAAAGGTATTGAGGAGGTAGAACCACTGGGAATTGGGGATTTGACTAGGTGCAGAGGGATGACAGAGAAGGAGTCACCCCAGCCTCAGGGTGGCAAAGTGACGCCACTTATTATGACAAGAAACCCCAGAAGAATAGGTTTTGGTGATGGGGAGATGGGTTCGTGGTGCTGGAGTAGCACTGGGGTCTTCGATGTACTCCCATGTGTTCCTGGGATCTCTCTCTTTCTGTTCCTCGCACAAACCTAATCCACTCTCCCAAAGTTCAAAACCCTCCAAGGAAGTTTGGAGTCACATTTTCAGAGGCATGGGGTGGGGGAGGGAATCACATATAATCAACCCTTGCGAATCTTTTAAATCCCC